CTCCTGCACACCCCCTAGTGAGGATGTACCCGCAACCAAGGTACATGCCCTTGCCCGGAATCGAATCCGGGACCTTTCAGTCTGCAGGCTGACGCTCTATCCACTGATCCAAACTGGTTTTGGCCTGAGGATATTTTTCTATTGATTTTTAGGGAGAGTGAAAGAGAGAGGGAAAGACAGAGAGAGAAACATTGATGTGAGAGAAACACATTGATTGGTTGCTCCTGTATGTGCCCCAACCAGGACTGGGACTGGGGTGGAGCCTGCAACCAAAGTACATGCCTCTTACCAGAATTGAACCCTGGATCTTTGGTCCGCAGGTAGTTGCTCTATCCATTGAGCTAAACCAGCTAGGGCTGAAAATATATATTATTCTGACTTCAGAGAAAAAGAGAGGGGGAGGTGAAGGGGGCAGGAGACAGATAGATAGAAACTTCAATAATGAGAGAATCATTGATTGGCTGTCGCCTGCATGCCCCCTACTGGGAATCGAGCCCACAACCCAGGCATGTGCCATAACCAGGAATGGAACCGTGACCTCCTGGTTCATAAGTCTACACTCAACCAACTGAACAATACTGCTGGGCTATGATGTTTGTACAAGAATGAAATTACATAATGATGCATTTCTCAGACATATTCTCTCCTTAAATGGTGTGTGACTATTTCATGACAGTGATATGTTTTGTTAAGAGGCACATGATACCTTGTTGCTTTTTATGATAACAGTCAGTGTGATTATTTTAACACATTTCAAAGCTGAAATATAATTTGCATGTTATAAAACTTGCCCATTTTAATTTATAGTTCAATGATTTTGGAGAAATTTTTAAAAAAATATATTTTATTGATTTTTGTACAGAGAGGAAGGGAGAGAGAGAGAGTTAGAAACATCGATGAGAGAGAGTCATCGATCAGCCGCCTCTTGCACACCCCCTACTGGGGATATGCCCGCAACCAAGGTAAATGCACTTGACCGGAATCGAACCCGGGACCCTTCAGTCCCCAGGCCGACTCTCTATCCATTGAGCCAAACCGGTTTCGGCTGATTTTGGAGAAATTTACTGAGTTCTGTAATCATTGTAATTGAGTTTGAGAGCAATCTTCACCTCAAGAAGATACCTCCATGTCCATTTTCCATTAAACTCCTATCCTCATTCCACTACTGTAGCCTACTTTTCTGTCTTTATAGATTGGCCTTTTCTGCTTATCCATGTAAATGCTATTATGATTATTCATTAGGAGTCACATAATAATGATATTCTATAATTTCATATTTACTTGTTAGCTGTATAACTTCTCTGAAGGGAAACCCTCAGCTGTGTGATTGCTTCGAGGTATAGCTTATATCAGAAAGACAAGATACAATTTTAAAAACAAGTTGATTTACTAGCGTTCTCCACTGATGACCAATTAAGTTTATTTTCTTAGTTCATTATGAACTAATGGATATAAACTTCTCAGAAGTTTTAATACACTTTAGTAATTATTCATAATGATGTTCATTCTGTCCTTGATCAGAGGGAGCCTCTTTAGATTGTTTCTTGAGTTATTTTGTGACAAATATGAGTATTTTAGCTGGGGAGCCTGATTCTAAAGGTTTAGTGTAAATAACGTGCTTTTCACTGCTTGGAGGCCAAAGGTATTTTTTTTCCCTTGGGAGAATGGAAGAGAGAGGGATGGATCTTATTTGGGTCCCTTTAGTTGCTTTTGCTTTTATGGAAACATCTACAGGAGTATCAACTTCCCCTATAGTAATTTATGGTTGTGTTTCAAATGACACAAAAAAGGAAGTGAATTGTTTCAGTTAGGGAAATAAGGAAGCTAAGTGGTATTGGTTTAACATTAATGGGCTTAGAAATGGTTTAAAGCCCTTTAGCTGGGGAAAACCTTAAGCATAGTTTAGAACTTAAAATTCTGAGCCCTGACATTTTCTTAATTATGATTAGACTAGTGGCCCAGTGCACAAATTTGTGCACATTGAAAGGAAACTAATTAGAAGAAATATTTTAATATCCTTATTCTCCCTTTCTCTATAATAGAAGTGTCAACCAAATTTGTGATCAACAATGACAGATTGAAACACGTGTGCAACTGGCACCAGCAAGTGCTTTATATATATTGCGCATGTGTGAATCAACTTAGCCTTTATAGATAAAGATTAAACTTGCTTAATTACACCTACCTTCTGATGTAGCTAAACTTTTTCCAGCCCATTTAGGCACTCCAACTTCTTTCTTAGGTAATTGTCAGAAGCATAGCAGTAAATATCAACACAAAGTAGATAATGCAGGGAGAACTAAGGGTAAAATATTTAACTGCAGCAGTATTTGACTATGTTCTGCGCAGTGAGAAAACATGAAGTCATTTTCATGGTACATCATTTCTTCTTTTCAATTGGATTAAGTTTCTAAACTTTAAAAATCTCCGTTTTCTGGCTAATGAGAAGAAATAGGATTCTACCGAGTCTCCTATCTACCTATTCCAGGACTTCTGTGAGGATCAAATGAGATGAGGCACAAGAAAATGTTTCACAGACATTTGGTTAAAGTGTGAAATGTTTCCACCTGGCTATAAAGCAAGTCATGTTCCTGGGCTGAAGAAACTCCAAGGAGGCTAGTTGCTAGGGAGAAGAAACTGGGTGTTGCTATGCGATGTCATTACCTTGCACCCCCGGTGCCCATTTCCAGAGTGGGCTGGGCTGTGGGCTGCATTTTGCACCATGGGGTCTTGGCAGGGTTGGCTACAATTTGGTGGAGTGTTGCTATGAGGTGGTGGTGGGGTCTGTGTCCCACTTGGGGAAAGCTGAGTGTTGCTTTGTTGGCGCCAGGTCTGTGGTGCTGTAAATGGCCAGGGCGTATCATGGCAGCCCTTGTGTTGAGCATCTGCCTCCTGGTGATCAGTGTGCATCATAGCGACCAGTCAGATGGTCGAAGGGACACTTAGTATATTAGCCTTTATAGTAAAGCCCACATTTAGTCTGAGCTTTTGCCCTTTTCTGATGTTTATTTGTTCATTTGCAAACTTGTTGTTCATGCCCGTTATTGTACCGATTGAACATGAGAAGAACGGGTTCTGCCTTTAAGGAGAGTCCACCTGTATTTGTGAGGTACTAGATGCCACGTCTGCGTAAACTTCAGAGTGTTTATGGGAAGCCTGCTGTGATTTAAAAATTAAAAAAAAAAAATATATATTTTATTGATTTTTTTACAGAGAGGAAGAGAGAGGGATAGAGAGTTAGAAATATCGATGAGAGAAGAATCATCGATCAGCTGCCTCTTGCACACCCCTACTGAGGATATGCCCGCAACCAAGGTACATGCCCTTGACCGGAATCAAACCTGGGACCCTTCAGTCTGCAGGCCGACGCTCTATCCACTAAGCAAAACCGGTTTCGGCGTCTGCTGTGATTTTAGAGAAGTACCTCAGAGTATAGTGTGCCTTAAATATATGGGATCTCTCAGGGTTACTAAACCAACAGATTAGTTTCTTAGAGAAATGAGGACATTTGAGAATGCCAGTTTTGTTTTCCAGATTTCTACTGTAATTTGAAAGTAGGAAGCAGAGATTTTCCTTGCTCTGTCCTTTGGAAGACAGTCATGTGCATTTTACTGTTTCTAGGAATTTCATTGTATGTTCAGGGAGAAATTCTTGAAATTAAAATGCGCATGACCGTCTTATATTGAGGATCCATGTAGTGAGGTTGCCTCTTAAGTAAATCCTTTTATGATAACTTCCTTTAGTCTTTTTATAACTAAGCATTTATGTTGGGTTTGCTAAAGGAACAGCATTCTCTGAGGCTGAACCATGTGGAGTTTTATCTTGCAGAATACTTACTGTCCCCTCCTAGTTTCCTCACAGAATGTACACCATCTACCAGGTTTTGGTAGAATTTATACCTGCTATCTTTTCTGTCTTGATTGTTGAATTGCTACTTGGTTTCTTTAAAAGTAGACATTAATAACTCAAATTCATATTTTTCTTGTGATTAAGGTTGAAATTAGCAAGTGTTTTACAACTTAAATCACTATTTGCACAAATCTAAAGAGGCACTAATATCCTAGCTGGTGTGGCTCAGTGGTTGAGCATCCACCTATGAACCAAGAGGTCCCTGTTGGATTCCTGGACAGGGCACATGCCCTGGTTATGGGCTCGATTCCTAGTAGGGGATGTGCAGGAGGCAGCTGATCAACGATTCTCTCTCATCATTGATGTTTCTCTCCCTCTCCTATCCTCTCAGAAATCAATAAAAATCTATAAAAAAATTAAAGAGGCATTATATTAAGTTAGTTAATTGCCTCTACTTTTATTTGACTTTTGAATAGTAGGGAAAAAGAATTTCCCTGTTTTGGGGGGAAAGAGGAGAGTCCCAGTTCCATATTCATCATATAATTATAAAAACTTTTCAGTGTGAGGATTTAGGTTCACATTCTTTCAAGCTTTCAGAGCGTCCAGGTACATTTAAATTGGCTCAAGTGATTTCTTTAGAAAAGTTCCCTTTATGTGATCTCTGAGCAAAGTGCTGTGAAGTTACAGATAAGGGCATTTTTGTGGTCACAGGACTATTTCAGTCTGTAGGCGTTGTAGAGAGAGCTGAAAGCTGGTGTAGGGCAGTGATTTTTACTTCCCTTTTACTTAAAAGGGAAGCCTGGGCAAAAGTTTCTTCAGGTTTCTTAATAATTTTAGTTTCTTTAGGTTAAAGAACTCTGTGTGTGTGTGTGTGTGTGTGTGTGTGTGTGTGTGTAGTAAATAATATGACAGTCTCAATGTTTTAATCAGCATAACAATAACTCACAACTGTCAGACCAACTGACAATCTCAATGCTTTAGCTTAAACTGGTAAGTGATGATAAAATATTGTTTTGATGCCTTTGTTTTATTGACATGCCAGTGTGTAAATTTTTGTGATTGCACAATGTGTTTTTGAATTTAGGTCAGATCAACCATTGGCTTGCCCTCTATCATAGTCAGCTGAAAGTGACTTCTCAAGTTTCTTCAGGATGCCCGCAGCACTTGTGGAGAATAGCCAGGTTATCTGTGAAGTCTGGGCCAGCAATCTAGAAGAAGAGATGAGGAAGATCCGAGAAATTGTGCTCAGTTACAGTTACATTGCCATGGTAAAGAGCTCTATTCTACTCTGTTTGACTCACCTCGTATGGATTTAGGGAGTATTTAATTTGATTTTGAAATAAGTGATCACACTAAAGTGATGGCATATTAAACATGATAGAAAGTTATATTGTTTTTATGAAACAGCAAGGTTAGCCAATGTATCTGAGAAGGATGTAACCTCTAGTGTCTTGAGGTTTTGTAATGTTACTCCGTGTTTGAAAGTCTTTAAAGCCATAGGGCGTATCTATCTTACAGATATGGTACATTTGTGTAGTTTTTAAAATAATTTTAAAAAATTGTCAGCATTTAAGAATCAAGGAACCTACTTAAATTCCAGATTTTTGTCATCTTTGGAAAAATTGGAAAGATCTGCCAATATAGGGGCCACATACCTGCCTGACATTGAGTGGCTGAAGAGGGACATGTGTGTCTCATGGTGATATTCAGGGCCTTCTTTAGAGGAGGCATGGAAGCACCCACAACTCCTAACCATTTTCATACCCAGTTTGCTGTACTCCTTTTTTTCTGATTGGCATTTTCACTTCCCTATTTCTATATTTTTATTTATATATTGTTCTCAACTTAGAATGTTCTTAATTGCCTATATATCTCTCTATAGTTTATCACCTACTTCTACTCATGTCCTGCTAGGATATCCAAGTTGTTGTGTAAAGCTTTGTGATTTTAGTGCTTCTGTAGATGTCAACAAGATAAGTATTTTAAGATAGATGTTTTTTTCAATCTTGGGGCTTGTCACATAACTTTTATAAATTGAGGTAAAAATTTTGTTTATGAATGATCAATTCAGCATCCACTATTTTGTGAAACCTTACGATGGTTTTTTTTTTTTTTTTTAGGACACAGAATTTCCAGGTGTTGTGGTGCGACCAATTGGTGAATTTCGTAGTTCCATAGATTACCAGTATCAGCTTTTGCGGTGCAATGTTGACCTTTTAAAAATTATCCAGCTGGGCCTTACATTCACGAATGAAAAGGGTGAATACCCTTCTGGAATCAACACTTGGCAGTTCAACTTCAAATTCAACCTTACGTAAGTGTCTGAGATACTTCTGAGTATTATTCTTAAGTCTGCTACATTTGTGCAGATTGTGATTTATAGTTGAATTTGTTAATTTTAAATTTTACTTCCACCAAACCCAGTTAAGGGTTGGACAGAGCAGTTAAGCAGAGGATGAAATAAATAATCTCAAAGAAAAGTCCCCTCTTGAAGCTCTCTCACAAGTCAACAGTAAAAAGAGAAGTAGTCCAATTAGAAAAAGGGAAAAGATTTGAATATACATTTTTTCAATGAAGACATACAAATCTATCTTCTAAAATGCAAAGTGTCCCCTTGAGAGTTCTACCAGACGACCAGGAGTTCGATCGCTTGCAATGACATATGCTGACTACCAGGGGTTGGCCGGGAATGAAGGAAGGCCCTGAGCTGACAGCCGAAAGGTGCGGATTAGCTCTGATCACCAGCCAGGCCTAGTGACCTTACCTGTGCGTGAATTTTGTTGCACCGGGCCTCTAGTGGCTAATAAACCCATGAAAAGTTGCTTATAATCGTGTCATTAGGGAAATGCAAATCAAAACCACAGTGAGATGCCATTTCATACCCCGAGATGGCTATAATAAAAAAACATAAATGTTGGCGAGGATGTGGAGAAATTAGAATATTCATACATTATTATGGGAAATGTAAAGTGGCACAGCCTCTTTAGAAAACAAACAGTCCAGTTAGAAAGGCTGTTTCTCTAAAGGTTAAACAGAGTTACTATATGACTCAGCAGTTCTACTCATAGGCATATGTCTAAGAGATTTGAAATTATATCAATGCAAAACCTTGTATGTGAATGTTCATAGCAGCATTATTCATGAAGGCATTATTCATTAATATGAAGCAATCCAAATATCTGTGAACTGATAAATGGATAAATTCAACAGTATATCCATGGAATTAAATGTTATGGAGCAGTAAAAAAGAATAAAGTATGGATATATACTATATATGGATGAACTTTGAAAACATGCTAAAGGAAAGGAGCCAGACACAAAAGCCCACAAATATGATTCTGTTTATTTGAGATGTCCAAAATAGGCACATCTAGAATAAATTAGTGGTTCTAGAGCAGGGGTAGGGAGATTATGGGATAATGGGAAGTGATTGCTTAATGAGACAGGGTTTCTTTTTGAGGTGATGAAATGGTTTATAATTGGTGGTGATGGTTGAAATATGTGGTTTACTAAAAACTATTGAATTATATATTTTAAATGAGTGAATTGTTTAATATGGGAATTTTACCTCAATAAAGCTATTTAAAGTCAAGTCAGTTTTCCAGTTAAGATTTCAGTATTTGAATTTCTGCCATTTCTTTACTGGTTGACGTTATTTTCCCTTTTTGTAATTCAATTTAAAAAAAAAAATGTATTGATTTTTTACAGAGAGGAAGGGAGAGGGATAGAGAGCTAGAAACGTTGATGAGAGAAACATCAACCAGCTGCCTCTTGCACACCCCCTACTGGAGTGTGCCGGCAACCCAGGTACATGCCCTTGACCGGAATTGAACCTGGGACCTTTCAGTCTGTAGACCGATGCTCTACCACTGAGCCAAACCGGTTTCAGCTGTAATTCAGTTTTCTTAACTGTAAAAGAGGGTTAGTAGTATCTTTCATAATAAAAATAAGATATAGAGTGGGTGCTAATCAAAGGTAGTTGAAACAAGCCTATTTGGTAGTGGCAAAATTTTGATGCAATTTAAAAAATGTGATAAGACTGGGGGATCCAAGATGGCTGCTCGGGTAGACATCTAGCTGCGGCAGCACACAACAGTTTCAATGGAATACAACTAAAATGTAGAGTGGACATTGCCCAGAGCTACAGGTAGTCGACTGACTGAAATTTCTACAACAAGAAGGAAAGAGAAAACCAGAAAGAAAATCAGAGGAGCTGAAAAAAAGCCTAAGGTACGGAGACATGCTGCGCGCGCCTGCCCGCCCGCACGCGCGCACGGAGAGGTCGCAGCCGGAGAGGAGGAGAGGGCGGGGAGCCGCCTTTCCTTCCCTAGCAGGAAGGAAATAAAACCCCCAGCCTGGGCTGAACCCCCGAACCGGCAGCGCTGAGCCCCCCCAAACCGGCAGCGCTGAGCCCCAGTTATGGGCCAGACCCTGGGGACCCAGGCTCCGGCGGGAGGAGACAGGGCCGTGAGGCGGAAAAACGGCAAAAGGCAGGGCCCCTGGAGTCGCGCGCAATGCGCGCGCAGAGGACTGAATGTTGACTCTGATGCTGGGTTGCCCTAGCCGGAAGAAACAAGGCCTCCGGCGGCGCTGAGCCTCAGTCCGGACTGCTCCGAACCCCAGTTCTGGGCCAATCCCTGGGGACCCAGGCTCAGGCAGAGGGAGACGGGGCTGTGAGGTGGAGTCCGGGGAGAACGGCGAAAGGCCGGGCTCCCGGGACTCGCGCAAACTGCGCGCAGAGGACAGTCTGTGGGACTCGCGCAAACTGCGCGCAGAGGACAGTCTGTTGACTCTGATGCTGGACTTCCCTAGCGGGAAGGAGAAAAAAAAAGCTCCAGGCTGGGGGAACGCGGAGGGGAGCGGAAGCCCCTGCCTGACTCCAGCCAACCGGGCACCAGCAAGGAGGCGGGCCACGAGGCCCCTGGGGGCGTGGGTGCCCCTGAGCCTTTGACCACTGAGCTCCGGCAATGGAGCCAAGGCGGGGGGCTGCTTCCTGGGCGGCGCCGTCCCGGCAACAGGCTGAAGCAGCACAGGAGCCCACGGAGAACAAAGGGGTGCCACAGGCCAACCTGCTGAGCTCCCAGGACAAGGAGGAAGAAACCAAAGAAGTTCTCAATGTGAAGAAATCAAGTGAGAGCAAAAAATAGTAAAATTACTTAAGAAAGAATACAAAGAAGATCTTGAAAAATCAAAGACTAAGTCAGAACTCAACTCACCAGCCAACATTGCAACATAAATGCGTTTTAAAAAGAAGAAAAAAAAGGACAGAATGTTGGAACAGCGACGGCCAGGCCTAGAGTGGCCAGGCACAAGGCAGTGGCAGCCAGACCCGGAGCAGCAACAGCCAGGCCCCAGAACAACAGCAGCCAGAACCAGAGCATCAACAGCCAGCACTGGAGTAGCCAGACCTGGGGCAGTGGCAGCCAGGCATGAGGCGGAGGCGGCCAAGCCCAGGGTGGCCAGTCCAGGAACACCCAGACCCGGTGTGGCCGGGCCCGAAGAAGCCAGGCCCAGAGCAGCCGGGGTGGGAGCAGCCAGACCCAGAACAGCAGTAGCCAAGCCCAGAGCATCCAGGTCGGGAGTGGCCAGGCTCGGAGCGGCCGGGCCCGGGGCAGCCGGGCCCAGAGCAGCCGGGTCAGGTGCGGCCTGGCCCGGAGCAGCAGCTGCCAGGCTGGGAGCAGCCAGGCCCGGGGGAGCAGGCGGGTCGGGTGCGGCCAGGCCCGGAGCAGCGGCTGCCAGGCTGGGAGCGGCCAGGCCCGGGGGAGCAGGCGGGTCGGGTGCGGCCAGGCCCGGAGCAGCGGCTGCCAGGCTGGGAGCGGCCAGGCCCGGGGGAGCAGGCGGGGCTGGTGCGGCCAGGCCCGGAGCAGCGGCTGCCAGGCTGGGAGCGGCCAGGCCCGGGGGAGCAGGCGGGTCGGGTGCGGCCAGGCCCGGAGCAGCGGCTGCCAGGCTGGGAACGGCCAGGCCCGGGGGAGCAGGCGGGTCGGGTGCGGCCAGGCCCGGAGCAGCGGCTGCCAGGCTGGGAGCGGCCAGGCCCGGGGGAGCAGGCGGGGCTGGTGCGGCCAGGCCCGGAGCAGCGGCTGCCAGGCTGGGAGCGGCCAGGCCCGGGGGAGCAGGCGGGTCGGGTGCGGCCAGGCCCGGAGCAGCGGCTGCCAGGCTGGGAGCGGCCAGGCCCGGGGGAGCAGGCGGGTCGGGTGCGGCCAGGCCCGGAGCAGCGGCTGCCAGGCTGGGAGCGGCCAGGCCCGGGGGAGCAGGCGGGTCGGGTGCGGCCAGGCCCGGAGCAGCGGCTGCCAGGCTGGGAGCGGCCAGGCCCGGGGGAGCAGGCGGGGCTGGTGCGGCCAGGCCCGGAGCAGCGGCTGCCAGGCTGGGAGCGGCCAGGCCCGGGGGAGCAGGCGGGTCGGGTGCGGCCAGGCCCGGAGCAGCGGCTGCCAGGCTGGGAGCGGCCAGGCCCGGGGGAGCAGGCGGGTCGGGTGCGGCCAGGCCCGGAGCAGCGGCTGCCAGGCTGGGAGCGGCCAGGCCCGGGGGAGCAGGCGGGTCGGGTGCGGCCAGGCCCGGAGCAGCGGCTGCCAGGCTGGGAGCGGCCAGGCCCGGAGCAGCAGCAGCCAAGTCCAGAGCAACTAGGTCGGGAGCGGCAGTGACCAGACCCGGAGCAGCTGGTTGTGCAATGAACCAGAGCAACAGAGGCCAGGCCCTGAGCAGCCAGGCCCAGAACAGCTCGCTCCTTGCCTGCCCCTGCCCCACGGCTGCTTCTCAGACATGGCTGGAAACTTTCGTGGGAACTTGAGGGTCTGCTGAATCAAGTGATGAAGGCTTAGATCTGGATGTGTTGAGTTAGTTTAGGACTGGGGTGTTGATCTGTGAGTGCCTTGGGTGGGGCCTGGATGAGGCTGGTGGACCTATTGGGAAATGTCTTTTGTGTGAAGTGTATCATTGGGCATGTGGAGGTATTATTGATATGAGAAAATGCTAAGTAACTGATTTACTATCTGAAAAGGGATTTACTATTGGGGAAAGGGAGGGAAGAAGAGACTGAACATAAACTGCACCTATGGATGAGGACAATGGGGGATGGGGGGGGGGACGGAGGGTGGGGTGGGAACCTGGTGGAGGGGGGAAGAAATGAGGAACCTTTGTAATAATATGAACAATAAAGATTGATTTAAAAATTTAAAAAAAAAAAAAAAAAAATAAAAAAAAAAAAAAAAAAAAAAAAAAATAAAAAATGTGATAAAAAGTAAGATTTACTGTCTTTGTATTGTTGTGAAGCAGATTCCCCAGAACTTTTTCATTTTGCAAGTCAGAAACTTTATACCTATTAAATAACACCCCCACCTGGCCCCTCCTGCTGCAATCCCTGGTTCCCTGTCTGCTGGCAGCCCCCGTACCTGCCATTCCCATGTGCTGACAGTGCCGGCCCGCTTGCAACTGCTGGCAGCACAGAAAGATTGGGGCTGGCACCAGCATGAGCAGCAGCTGCTGCCCCAATTGCCCCTCAGGAGCAGGGGCACAAGTGGAGTAGTCCTCAGGTGATCGGGGGCAGTGCGGGGGTGCCAGCAGCAGGTGTGAGCAGGGCTGGCAGCAGGTGCAAGTGCCTGGTAGCGCTGCATGTGAGAGCAAAATATTTTCAGTAACCACCAGAGGCTCACCCCAATGACAGTGATCGGCACTCTGCTTTGGTCTGGTGTCCCCACTTACCTGCTCCACTATCCTGCCACCAGCTGATACCCGCCACGTTCCGTGCTCTGCTGCCTGCTGCTGACACCTGCCATATTCTGTGTGTGCCTCCTGATGTTCAGTGCACATCATAGCGACCAGTTGTTAGGTTGTCCTGCTGTTGAATCTATTTGCATATTAGGATTTTATATATAAAGATTAATTTTTTTCATTTCCTTTTTTTGAGATTAAAAAAAAAAAAAAATATATATATATATATATATATATATATATATATATATATATATTATTGATTTTTACAGAGAGGAAGGAAGAAGGATAGAGAGTTAGATACATTGATGAGAGAGAAACATCGATCAGCTGCCTCCTGCACACCCCCCACTGGAGGTATGCCTGCAAGCAAGGTACATGCTCTTGACCAGAATCGAACCCTGGACCTTTCAGTCTGCCGGCCGACACTCTATCCATTGAGCCAAACCAGTCCTGGCTTGAGATTTTTCTTTAAACAATGGCAAAATGTATATATTTTATAATTAGGACAATTATTTTATGGAAAAATCACATTTTTTAATCTGTTAGAGATAAGATCATCGACTTTTTATGCTTGCTGGAATACTGGACAAAAGGAATTGTAGTCTTAAATAATGAAAGTATTTAAAGAAAACTTGTTCTATGATAAGTGTGATATACTGTTACCCACTACTTCTGCTACATTATCCATCAACTAAGACATGACACCTTCTTTTTCAGAGAGGACATGTACTCTCAGGATTCCATAGATCTCCTTGCAAACTCAGGACTGCAGTTTCAGAAGCATGAAGAGGAAGGAATTGACACACTGCACTTTGCGGAGCTGCTTATGACATCAGGGGTGGTTCTCTGTGACAATGTCAAATGGCTTTCATTTCACAGGTCAGCCCCAGAGAATGCGTAGCTCTCTGTTTGGGAGCAGGGAATTGAATTCTTATGCTCTCTTCTGTTGGTCTCTAGCAGTTATGAAGTTGAAATGGTAACTATTACTCATGTTTGTTTTTTCAAAAAACCATTTGGAGCTCATATTGGTTTGTGTTGGACTCTATCATGTAACTGCCAGTGGGTGCATTCCGAGTGCAAAGTGGTGGGTGGAGAGGACCGAAGCACTTGGTTGTTTATTCTTACCATTTTTAAAATATATTTTTATTGATTTTAGAGAAGGACAGAAACATCAATGGTAAGAGAGAATTATTGATTGACTGTCTCCATCATGCCCCCTACTGGGTTGAGCTCCCAACCTGGGCATGTGCCCTAACCAGGAATTGAACCAGCAACCTTTTGGTGCATGGGATGATGCTCAGCCAACTGAACCACACTGGCCAGGTCTATTGGTTGATTCTTTATGTGTCCTGAGTTGGGGATGGAACTCGCTATCTTGATGTATTGGGATGATGATCTAACCAACTTAGCTACTCAGCCAGGGCCAGTACTTCTGAATTTTTGATGAATAAAACACACATTTATATATAAACTTTTGAGGTTTTTTTCCATATTAGTTTGTGTTGTTTTTTAATGGAATGTTCAGATCACAGTAGGATAAACTACTATGGGATACTGAAAGGTGGCAGCATCATGCATTTTGAGAAGTAAAGTTGTTGAACGTGGGGACCTAATCACTGCTGCTTTTTCACTTAGTGCCTCTTTTTCTCCTGCAGTGGCTATGACTTTGGCTACATGGTAAAGTTACTTACTGATTCTCGTTTGCCAGAAGAGGAACATGAATTCTTTCATATTCTGAACCTTTTCTTCCCATCCATTTATGATGTGAAATACCTGATGAAGAGTTGCAAAAATCTTAAGGTACAATATATATGTATTTTTATTTATTTTTAAAAAAAATATCTTTTATTGATTTTTTTACAGAGAGGAAGGGGGAGAGATAGAGAGCTAGAAACGTCGATGAGAGAGAAACATCGACCAGCTGCCTCTTGCACACCCCCTACCGGGGATGTGCCCGCAACCAATGTACATGCCCTTGACCGGAATCAAACCTGGGACCTTTCAGTCTGCAGACCGACGCTCTACCACTGAGCCAAACTGGCTTTGGCCAATATATATGTATTTTAAACTAGTAACAACAACAAACAAAAAAAGCCAAAAAAAAGCAGACTTATCATTTTGCTTTGTTATTTGTTCAGCATGAATTCTTGAGTATCTGCTAGATGCCAACATTGTACTAGATAGGTTGTATATATAGCTAATTGCCACAGGAATTTGTGTGGTTATTGTCTTTAACCTGGGCGTGAGGGAGCCCTCTGCTTCTCTCATAAGGCAGGCTTTCTTCACTCAAGGCCTATATCAATTGGTAACGAGGTGTATGTACAATTTGTCAGGAATGGGGTCTGTAGTGTACCAGACTTTCAGATCAGAGAAGAGTTCTTAACACTAGACCAGCAATTTTCAATTGGTGTGCCACAAAACATGTAATACCTGACTAGTTAAAGGCATTACATTTTTCCCTTAGACTGTCAAATAAAAAAAAAGACAACAGCCAATACATAGCTGTCCAATGTGAATGCCCTGTCTAGAACTATAAATCTATAGGTCATATAATACTAAGCATTGTGTTATATTGGTCACGTCACATAATAAGTTTGTATCTGATTGTTTAACTTTTGGTACTAGATATCCTTATATACAATTATAAACACTTGATTTTTGAAAAAGTCACTTTGGAGCCCAAAGGGTCAGATTGACAAAAAAAAATGTATGCCGCATAATTTTGGCAGTTAATTTGTGTGCCATGAGATGGGAAAGGTGGCTTCCCTAGATAGTTTAAGAACTCATTACCCTAATACATTATTGATATGAGGTTTGCTGATTTGAATTAGATAGGCATTTACTACTTTTTTTCTTTTAAAATAATTTTTTATTTATTGACCTTAGAAAGAAGGAAGAAAGAGAGAGAAGACATCCATTTGTTGTTCCACCCACTTACGCATTTACTGGTTGCTTCCTAATGTGCCCTGACCGGGGATTGAACCCAAAACCCTAGTTTATTGGGATGATGCTCCAACCAACTGAGATACTCAGCCAGGGCTGGCATTTACTATTTTCTAAACCTTGTTTTATAGCAGTTAAGATTTTATGGAGCAGAGAACTGACAAAATTAATGATAAAGAGAAAAAGGGAGTAAAAAATGGAACATAACACAGTGTATCATTTGGAGGGCTGGGGTAATGCCTGTTAAGTAAATGGCCTCTTCCATCACCAAAAGAAGTAAACTCAAGAATGGACTACATTGGCTTTAGTAGGGATGTGTTGGGTCTATAATATTGTCTTTGTTTTTCTTACATCTCCAGGGAGGTCTTCAGGAAGTGGCTGATCAGTTAGATTTGCAGAGAATTGGAAGGCAGCATCAGGCAGGCTCAGACTCACTGCTGACAGGAATGGCATTCTTCAGGATGAAAGAGGTAAGGCGAAGAGATGGATGACCTTTGGGCTGAGGTTTGTTGAAATTTATAGTTTCTATTGGTAGTTGATGACTATATTGAGAGCAGTTTTTTGTTTTTGTTATGATGTTCAATATATTAAATATAGTTTGAAAAGCAAAGAAGCATCTGAAATGAAGGCCACTCAGCATGCCCAAATCTAAAAGTATATTTGGTGTTCCTAGCAGCTCTCGTTGTTGTAATTATTTGTTTTTTTTCTGAAAATAATATGAACACGTTGGTTAGACCACCCCACTTATCTCACAGCTGACATCATAATCAGCAGCTCTAAGGTTAGGAACAAGACAAGGATGCCCACTCTTGCTACTTTTATTCAACATGGTATTGGCAGTTCTAGCTAGGACAGTTAGGCAAGAAAAATAAAAGGCATGTAGATAAAAAAAGAAGTAAAACTCATTATTTGCAGATGACATGATATTATCTATGGAAGACTTCACCAAAAAATTGTTAGAACTAATAAATTCAGTAAAGTTGCAGGATACTAACCCTGACAGGATAGCTCAGTTCATTAGAGCATCGTCCTGATATGCCAGGTTTCAAGTTTAATTTCCGGATAGGGCACACAAAAAGCAACCAATAAATGCATAAGCAAGCAGAACAAATCAGTGTCCCTCCCTCCCTCCTTCCCTTCCTCTCTCTCAAAATCAATTAAATAAAAAGTTTTAGGATGCAAATCAATATACAGAATTCTATTGTGTTTTTTTACATGAATAACGAACTATTATAAAGGGAAATGAAAGAAAAAAAAATCCCATTTATAATTGCATCAAAAAGAATAAAATACCTTGGAATAAATTTAACCAAAGACCTGTACATTGAACACTATTAAGACATTGATGGAAGAAATTGAAGATGACACAGATGAGTGGAAAAATAAACCGTGCTCATGGCTTGGAAGAGTTAATATTATTAAACTGTCCATACTACCCAAAGCAAAAATTCCAAAGGCATTTTTCACAGAAATAGAACAAACGATCCTAAAATTTGCATGGAACCACAAAAAGATTCCAAATAGAGCAATCTTGAGAAAGAACAAAGCTGACAGCATCATTCTTCCTAATTTTGTCCCCCAAAGTACTCTTTGCAATGTCTGGAGACATTTTGGTTGTCACACCTGGGGGTTAGGCTGAAGGCGGCAGTGTGCTACTGGCCAGGATGCTGCTACACATCCTACATTGGACAAGCCACTGCACCACAGCAAAGGCATTCTGTCCAGTAGTGCCAGGGTTGACATAATGCTCGGTTATAAGTAGTTAATGCCCATTATCTCACTCATGACCACCTATTAAAACATGACTGTTTTATAGATAGGGAACAGGGGCTTAAGTGAAGTGACTTTCCTAAGGTCACACAGGGTGTCAGTCTGCACAGCCCAAGCTCTCAACCATGGCACTGCCTGCTAAACAGAAAGGACAAAATGGGACATGTGTACTTAAGCAGCAGCAGCACAGGGATTCTAGCAGTGAAAGAACTCATGGAAAATAGGTCTGTTCACAAAGGAGCGTGGAAAGGTTTGGAACCTTTCTATATGGAATTGATTTCTAGTTGGTCAAATTTTGAGGGCTGAGAGCCGGGAAGTACTGATGTGGTAGTATTGAGACTTGGCATGATTCTTACGACGGGTTCTCTGTCCCATTCTGCAGTTGTTTTTTGAGGACAGTATTGATGATGCCAAGTATTGTGGGCGGCTCTATGGCCTGGGCACGGGAGTGGCCCAGAAGCAGAATGAGGATGTGGACTCTGCCCAGGAGAAGATGAGTATCCTGGCCATCATCAACAACATGCAGCAGTGATGGTGGCAAGACTCTGCGGAGCGGGCCCACCCAGAATGGTGCTTACTGTGCTGACTGTACTTACCTTCCTCCCCAAGAGAAACCGCTACTTTTGAGCAAGCTGCACTTACCATCTCCACTGAACAGAAAGACTTTTGTTTTACTAAAGACAAAGAAGTCTTTTTGATCCAGAAAAGGGGAGTTTGCTCGGAATTTGTAAACAAGTCTTACCTATTCCTCATCCCTAGGCCTCTTCTCCAGTTGCCTCCTGCCACCAGCATCCATGGCTCATTTGACACCTTTTTAAATACCCAGGACGAATGAGAAACAAACTAGTAAAATGTATATAACTCTTACCTGTTGTCATTCTTTTTCTTTTAAATTTGTTGCTAATCTCTGATGAAGATTTACTATGCTGAGCTGAGGGCTTCCAGAAAAAGTAGAACAAAATGGTATTCTTAAGTGTGGGTGATAGTGTTAAGTCTTCCTTTTTTCTGACCCTTCTCAAGGACATCTGCTTTCCTCATGGAAATGAATTACATGCTCAGTGCTGAAATTTGAAGACCAGATAATGGTAACTTATCTTAAAAAAAATTCTACTGAACTTGTCTACTCTTTATTCATAAGGAACACCAGAGTGGACATTAGCCATTTAAGTGTCTTTATATCCTATTGTGCCATTGAAATTTGCTGTCACATGTGCATCATTTGAAGTCACTTTGTGTTTTCATGTAACAAAATCATAGATTTGATCCTGAAGGAAATTAGTTAAGATCAGATTTTGGATCATAAGTCTGTTGTGATTTCAGATGGGCATTTGTATTCCCCCACCTCTCTTCTCTGTTTTCCGAAAACTTGAGAAGTTAGGGAGATGGATTAATGTGAGTACCAGAAATGTGAATCTTCAAAGTTTTAGTGGTTCATATAAACAGGGCAGTAAGGAATTTGTTTTATAGGAATTTATTCTCGTGGAATAATATCCCACAACTGGGGTAGAAAGCTCAGGACTGTGATTTCCCCCCCAAAAAACTAGTCATTTAAAAAGTACACTGTATCCTTTTTTTTAAATGACAGTATGGATAATTTTGAAAACCCAAAAAACCCATTTGGAATGGTGGAAATGGAACTGGTAACTCACTGAAGTGGATGAATAGTCTTGCATTTTAAAAGCTTATAGAAAACTCAATTTGAAATGATTAAAAAATGTCAAGTATTATAAGCTGGTATTTAAGATGCTTGTAAATATATTTATGTTTTTAATTTTGTATAATAAAGATTTCTTTTTAACTACTGGCATGCAGGTTTGATCTTTCGTTGCTATGAATTCCTGGCTCTAGAAATGGACATTAGCGGTTGGTAACAGCATCTTGTGTATCCCCAAGGTCTTGCCTCCATTTTCCACAAGGTGGCTCGTATCCAGAACGCTTCACTTTGAAGGAAGCTTTTAATGAGCATCTGTGTAAGTGGAACATTTCACACTTGTCGCTGATTATTTGGCCTTCCTTGGAACCAGTATTAACTCTATTTCCTGGGACCACTCATTATACATGTGGTGAATTAGCATGTGAAATTCTTGCAGAAAAGCCATGAATCAGTTCAGTTATTGGGAAAGAGTGCTCCTCATCAACCCTACCTAACTGTCTTAATTTTTATGATCTAGCAACTGGGATACTACGGAAACTATTTAACCAAAGAAAAGAACAGGCTTCAAAAGAATGCTCATTAGTTTAAGAAAAAAATACAAGAACAAGAGTTTGTAATTAGTATGTTGTGTCCATTATGCATGATCCAAAAGTCGAAGTCCAATGATCCAAAACTTACACATACAAAATTAGGAAGGAATATGCATTTTTCTTGGAAGATCATCTGTGGCTTCAATCTAATTCTCCTGTGATCCAAAAAAGATTAAGAAAAACTGAAACAGTAATTTCTTCAGTAATTTCTTTCCGAGCTATTTTGCTCACCATCAAAACTGAAGGGTTAAGACTCACTTGAGTTACTTATTTGTTCTTCTAACACTTTAGTAAATGATTTGTTCAAATAAGCAATTATATGAAACAATAAAACCAAATTTTTGACCTAGGATAAAGACAACATGATGGGTAAGGCCTGTTTCACACTCAGTAGAAGTAGCAGTTAGAGTAGAAGGGGAGAGCCCTGGTTAACAAAATTAAAAAAATGATACCAGTGGTCATAAACTACAGCAATTCTATCTCAAACAAGAATAGTGTTGTTTACGATCAGGGGAAGCATTTATAAAGGTAGCTTGTGTATAAGAACATAACACTTTGAACAAAAGTTTCTCCTCTTTGGATGAAATCTACATAAGGCTTTAGAGATGACCAACAATTACTCTTGCAAGTGTCTAACAACTACTGCTAGCTTTGGAAGATCCTTTAGTAGGGAACTACAACTGAGTCCAAAGTCAGATTCTGTTTTTAAGGGTAGAGTTGATCCAAACTTGACCCTCGTTTTGTATTATTTGGATCACTGCAAAAAACATCTAGGGATCGGAGCAAATGTCTGGCAGAGGTGAAAGATGTCAGACGTTTTGAATTTGATGCAATTTATTTTAAAGGTCCTTGAAAGTTCAAGTGCAGAAGGTCTGGCAGTGTCTTTGGTAAACTTTAGTGCCGCCGTATTTCTGAAGCAGCTCTTGGGCCTGTTGCTGCATTTCCTGGGTCATGCTCTCAGGACACTGGGATCCGATGTGAAGCAGGACCAGGCAGCACTCCAGCACATCTGGGAAGGGCCAGGTCTAAAAGATGAAAGTGAAACGAAGCATTTGCAAAAGAGCCACAACACCTGCATGGAAGGCACCAGTAACTCAGAGTCTCTCCTGACACTTCTCAGGCACAACTGGGCCATTTCTCTCAAGATGTCTTGTGAGAGAAGACAGGCAATGTCTTGTTCATCAGTTACTCTAAGGAGAGATGATACTCAAAACTGGAATGTCTACTGGGACATCCTGCTCCAACGAATATAATCTTCTAGAGCTCTATTGCAATTAATTTGAGAAGTGATGTTTCTATTACCACCTGGGCCACATCCAAATACACTTATCCATCTGTAAGCTAGCAAATACATGACACTAATTTTAATTTTACTTTACCTCCCAATTATAAAATTTGTTAGATTTCTCTGAAGACTGAGGTATAAACTGCTTCTGTTATCAATAGTTCTACTCTCACAAAACATTTTAGCTAACCAAAGGCAAGTAGATTCTAACTTTTAAGCACATTCAAATGTGTAGAGATTTCAAAAACTGAAAAGTAAATGATCTTAAAGAATTTGGTATAGTCATTGATATTACAAAAAGTAATGTTTTACCAAATGAACTGCTATAAATCTTACCTTCACACTCTCAGGAAACTTAGCTATTCTCTCATTCGCCTCCGTAAGCCTTCTGGTTAATTCAGGTAGAGAAAGTGGCTCATTTTTCTCTTCTTTACTGGTGAATAATAATAAAAAGTATAAGTCATATATGTTTTGCCCTAGGTAACTTTTATTCCAATTGTCTATAAATAAAATTCCTTTATCACCTGGGTCTTTATCTCCCATCTTTAAAAAAAGTTTAAGAGAAGGCAATTAAATATGATGTGACAAAGTTTTCAAAATGCAATATTACTCCTTATCCTATTGCAAATCCCCACTCCTTAGACACACAGCTCCAATGAAAATACAGGACCCTTGGGGGTTCAACTTGCAGCCAAGAGCAGAGAGCCTAGATTTATTTGGGGAATTAGAGCTGGCTCTTACTCATGGGGTGTATGGATGTATATTTTTCTGGAAGAGTGTGTTAAGTTTCTTTCTTTCTTTCTTTTTTTTTTTTTTTTTTTAAATATATTTTATTTGATTTTGTACAGAGAGGAAGGGAGAGAGATAGAGAGTTAGAAACATCGATGAGAGAGAGTCATCGACCAGCTGCCTCTTGCACACCCCCTATTGGGGATATGCCCGCAACCAAGGTACATGCCCTTGACTGGAACCGAACCCGGGTCCTCCAGTCCCCAAGCCAACGCTCTATCCATTGAGCCAAACCGGTTTCGGCAAGTTTCTTAAAGGGTCCTGTGATCCAAAGGTTAAGAGCTACTTAGTGGGTTAGAGAACTGTTTTTCTTGTTATTAAAACCAAATCTAAAGCTGCTTAGAGTGTAGTAGTTCATTGGAGAAGTAATTCAGAATTTTGAATCAAGATTTCAGTGGGAGTATTTTTAGAGCAATTAATATAAGGACGTTAAAGCTTTTTAATTGGTAAAGTTATTAACAGCTTTAAGTTGATCAATATTCTAATTATTGGCCGAAACCGGTTTGGCTCAGTGGATAGAGCATCAGCCTGCAGATTAAAGGGTCTCAGGTTCGATTCCGGTCAAGGGCATGTACCTTGGTTGCGGGCACATCCCCAGTAGGAGGTGTGCAAGAGGCAGCTGACAACAGATGTTTCTCTCTCATCATCGATGTTTCTAACTCTCTATCCCTCTCCCTTCCTCTCTGTAAAAGATCAATAAAATATATTTTAAGAAAATTCTAATTACTGTTTTAGGCATTGTTCTGGGGGACATAAGGTAAAAGGCACTTATCATAATAACCAATCAATAACTTAATTACTGCAAACACCCATAGAAAAGTGCCTTATAATAATGCAAGCTCTACAGTGATTGGTGACAGTCTCCTGTCATCCATATGGTTAAAATGCTAAAGCATCATTTGATCATTTGATTTCTCTCAGTTCATGAGCAGTTCTGTGTATTACCTCTTTGTCTATTTTAAAAAATATATATATATTATTGATTTTGTACAGAGAGGAATGGAGAGAGATAGAGAGCTAGAAACATTGATGAGAGAGAGTCATCGATCAGCTGCCTCTTGCATACCCCCTACTGGGGATATGCCCGCAACCAAGGTACATGCCCTTGATCGGAATCGAACCCGGGACCTTTCAGTCCGCAGACAGACACTCTACCGCTGAGCCAAACCGGTTTCAGCCAGGAGGGCATTTTTAATTCCATCTTGTATTGACTC